TATCGTTCAGCCCTACTCTACAGCTGACTCAGAAAGAGATCCGATATGGTTTTCTATCATTTTGTTCATAAGCCCAACTCATCTCTGTCAGCTGAGCTCTGTTAATCGTCACTTTGAGCACTGAGGACCTGCAGCGGTAAATCTCGTAGCTCGGCTGTGTTCAGCGACAAAATCAAAGCCTGTAGTGAAAAGATGCAGGAGCAGAAACGGGAAACAATTTTATGATCAGAAAATATTCCTACAGCTGGGGTCATACGTGTGCGGTGAGCACATAAGTATAAAAAAACGTTGTTCCTTTAATCTTCACTCTAATCTAAACATGAACTTTAATAATACAGAATCTTATACTAAAAATAACCCGCCCATGCTCTTATCCTATGAGAACTGTAAGATTAATATGGTGCAGGTGAGAGGGTCTGCGATCAGTGTTGATGATCTGACCAATCACGTTTGTATTCAGGAGTGACATCATGAAGGGCTCGAAGGGCAGAAACCACATTTTCCAAAACAGAAAAGTTTAAAAAAGGAGAAGAAAGTCAACTCAGTCTAACCTCCGAGGACCTGGCTCCTCATATGTGGACATCACATTTTTGTCAGAAACAAAAATCAGGCAACTCTTTGTTTTTACATTCATCAGGTCGCAGTCAGCCCAAACAGCAAAGATTAAAAATGCCATCAAAGAGTTAGGAGGTTAAAAATAACAGTTTGACCTTCCTTTGGTTTTAAATGGGACACTGACCCCAGTTTTCTCGTGTTTGATCTGAAAAGTTTAACGAGTGCAGCCATCAATGAGCCGGGCTCATCGTGTCCGTGCACCGCTCCACCACCGCTCCACCACCGCTCCACCCTCGGACCCTCAGACAGGCTGCGTGTGGTTTTTGTTGCTGTATTAAACCGATCTTTCTCTCTCCTCAGCGGCTAGCAGCAGTTGGCTTCAGGAGCATGTGGCAGATTTAAGTCGAAGGTAAGGACGCTTCCTCGCTCTGCTTACACTCACACACACACATCCATCCTGTATGTTACACCCTATGTGTGCCCAGGTGTATGTCCTCTGGGGTCAAAGGTTAGCCTCATTGATTTGTCTTCTCAGAAACAGCTGTTAGATCAGTTTCTGTCTGCAGAGGCGAGGCAGCAGGGGGCTGAATATCCCCCCGCTGACAGTTTCTGGTCACCTGATATTTGTGGTTGGAAGCTGAGACTTTGCACCAGAGCAGAGTTTGTCTTAAATTCTGTTGATCCGGAGGATCAACGCCCAGAAGAACTGCAGACGTTTTTCTTGGTCAGGAAGGAAAAGCCTCCGAAGCTACGCCACTGATGCTGCGTTAGTTCAGTGAATATTATCGTAACCGCGAGTCTTTCTGAGGCCGATCGATGGTTGGTTTAAGAGAACGAGACGTCAGCAACAACAGGCACGACTCTTCTGCAGCATCATCAAACCCCTGCACCCGTCACTCTCAGCCTGGGTCGTGGCCGACCCGGGGAAACAGCCACACTGATCCGTCCGTTTGAACTGGAGGAATTTGGACGTTTTGAGTCTCAGTGGCGCCGCAGTGTTTGATTTTTAGAGCTGAGGGAGAATTGAGAGTTGGACAATGGCTGATGACCTCAGGGGGCGTACCACAGGAAGTGACATTAAGCAAATGAAAGCGAAATAAGGCTTCAGTGACGCAGACACACAGACTGGCCGATGACCCTCTGACAGCCACACGTCTCCAGGAAAAAGTTTGTGTTCCCGGAGTGGTTGGCGAGTCGTTGCTGGCTGATGAAATCAGTCCAAACCCAGTGACTGCCAATGAGAACAAAGGTTGCTCTTTACGGACGTGTGAGAGGCGGTAAATAAGCAAGCGAGTAGCCAAGACTGTCCACTAGGTGGCAGTCGGGTGACGCACGATGTGCTTTATATGTGGGCGGGGCTTATTATCCAGCAGGTGAGGTAAACGTTGATTATTTTTAACAGTGAATCGTGCAAAGCTGCTGCAGTCGAATCCAAAAATAGAAACATGGAATCAGAAATTTGAAATGCTTCCCAGAATTCAGCTTCCTTATGTCAAGTTATGCAATCAAAGCATGAAGCATTAATCGGTGTTTGATAATTGTGTCGTCGCGTCTGATGAAACACCAAAGGCAACTTCCCGTGTGCAACCTGTCGACCGGCTCTGAAGCCTCTGCTGCTCCTGTGATAAATATTCCATGCTGCTGCATCGCTCCGGCATCCGAAGTGGGTGAAATATACGATGTCTGCACACACACGCGCACACACACACGCGCACACACACGCGCACACACACACACACACACACGCGCACACACGCTGAGAGTCAGCGGCTCAGTCGGCGCGGGTTACTCAGGGTGACAGCCTGGAGAGTTGTGCAACAGAACTGCGCTGTGATTGGCTGAGAGGGCAGAAGTGAACAGGACGTCCCAGCCTAGTTTCCACTCTTTGACTGCGTGTGGGAGAGACACACACAGAGATGCTGTGTGTGTGTTACTGTGTGTGTGTTATCACAGCCTGTCCCCACTTAACCCCAGCATGGTCTGAGGGCCAACTGGGTTATATAAAGCCTGCTGCTCGGTCAGCCTCACCAGCCAGAAGCCTGAGCTGTGTGCGCGTGCGTGCGTGCGTGCGTGTGTGTGTGTGTGTGTGTGTAAGTTGCCACCGGGGAGGAGAGAGACAGAGGAAGTAAAAAATGTGCAGATTTGGATTAACAAGCCCTGATCCTGCTCGTCCGGTTACTTCCAAGCATCGCTGCACCGTCTTCAGTTTTTTTTAAATAGTAACTTTATTTATAGCACATTTGTCTACGTTTACATACAGAGTTGAGAAATTCTTTATTATGTCTGGATTTGTGCGTTTCATCATGCAGACATGATGAAGAGTCACAACAACATCTGGCAGATGTGTCTTCCTGTGTCTGCGCTCAGGGCAGCTCCTGTGTGTTAGAGGAGGAGCAGGAGGTGGTCGGGATTATCCATGATGGATCACTGTTTCTTGGTGACCTCCAATCCCAGAGCCCGACTTCCTGATCAGTTTATCCCATCTGCTGGAGGCTGCAGCTCGATGCTGCTCCCCCATCTTACTGCAGAAATCCACTGTGGTGCTTTCCCTGGAAGCAGAGCCTGCTCGGATCCTTCTCGTATCCAGCCTCTGCACTGGTCTTGCAGCTCGGCCTGTTATCAATGTGGACGCCCAGGTACGCGCACTCTTGGACCTCCCTGACATCCTGTCCCAGACGGTAGCTGTGTAGCCGTCCTCTCACCATCTCTGCTGCTATCACATGCAGGAGCAGATCTGTCCTCCTCCTCCTGAACATCACTAACACATCCAGAGTGTTTCTGACCTCAAAGTGTCGAAGGTGAGCAGGAATGGAGACGTTATCGCCTCCTGAGGTGTTTCCTGCAGCTTCTCTCTCAGTAGCAGCTGCTGAATCGTGTCAATGCACGTGAGGAACCAGAGGAGGCGTTTCTAACCGTGCATGCAGAGGACTGCATCAGCCACCCCCAGATTCAGTCTGCGTGCAAACCTCTCAGGGTCAAGGGAGGTTCTACCTGTGCTCTCAGGTGGGCGGAGACTAGTCTCTGCATCACCTTGATAACATGATGGATGGTTGACCTCTGATGGAGGCGACTTGTTGGTCACAGGAGACGTGATTGTGCCACGGAGGTCACGGAGTCCCACGCCTTTTTCTGCCCGTGCAGGCAGGACGTCTGACCACAGTCAAAATCATTCGACACTTAGAAATCTCTACCAACTTAACTCAGTTGGTAATTTCATTTTCTCTTTATTTTCTTTTTTCCATCTAAATTGATTGGCCTGGAGAAGGCCAGCACAAAGATGATTGGACTAGACTAGTGATGTCACAATGAGCTTAGATTAGCCCCCAAACACCTGGGCAGCAGACAGATGTGTGACTGCAGATGTTCATCGTTGAACGTCTGTATGAGCTGAAGTCTTTACACATATTAATTGTTTCCCTTGCAGACCATGTGATGTTTACATTGAGCTGCTGTGTTGTGTCATATTTCAGGTTATTGTATGCAGGACTCCTTTTGCATTGAAGTAAAAAACACTTGCTGTATCACTGAGCGTCTTCTTCTCTCTCTTTTTTTAAACTGGCGTTTTTTTCTAATGACGATGTGAAAATATTGTGACAGCGCGAGAGCGGTTGCCCGTAGCGTTGTTTTCACTCGCAGCAGGCGTCTGTGTTCAGAGGAGAAGCTCTAAAAAGCCACAGCGGAGTACCTGCTCAGCAGCAAACAGACACGGCTCAGTCAGACGCTTGCTGCTGAACACGGAGAAGCTTTTAGCGGCTCGAAATGCAGACGTTTCCCTCGGGAGCCGTCGGGCCGTAGCTCCCGGATCTGAGACGTGTCGCAAACAGAGAAGTGTTTCTGACGGCCAGCAGGGGGCAGTCACACTGGCTCCAATAACGCTTCACCTTGCATGAATTTTACCTTTCCTGATGCCTTTATGTGCTCACAGGCTGGATGTAAATTATTGTTTCATATTCAGGAAGCAGGGAGGAGTCTGTACTTCTCCCTGCTTCCTGAATTCCACGGGTCCGTCACAGTTCACTGTGAACTCGAGTCAGGCTGCAGGGAGCTGAATATCTGCACACCTGATATTTGTGGGTGGAAGCTGAGACTGGAAACCAGTTTGTCTTAAATTGTGTTGATCTGGAGTTTTTTTCCTGCAGATGTTTTCTGGAACTAGGCCGGGATGCTAAAAGCGTAGCCACGGGAACGACGTTATTTATAAACAAACTGCAGTGTAGAAATTAGAGATGGCACGATGCCACTTTGTTACTTTGAAATGCCGGTTTGGTAGCGAGGCTTCAAATGCTCAACCAGACCGCCGACAGGTCTGGCACGCCACAGCCGCTCTATCACGTGACGCATACTGCTCCGACGTGCTAACGTTATGAGCTGAGTTACGCCGTGTCGCTAGTTTTGGGAGGTGCTTTGGTGATATTGAATGGATCAGATTAGATTTTTTTATGTCTCTCCGATATCCAATCCAGTAATCTAGGTCAGTATCGGACCGATGCGTGATATCGGTCCATCCCTAGTAGAAATGAAACATGTCCGTACATGTCGATCGTAATTCCCTGCAGCTCCATCAGAACCTCTGACAGAGATTCAAACCTGCATCACACTCAGCGTGAGTCAAGGATGCTGCTGATGGATGCACGAGGTGGTAAAAGCATTAAAGGGTTATCTACGAATGTCCACTAGTGACCGGCTACAAAGTGTACGCAACAAGTTAATTGGTTTAAACGTGGACGGGCTTTAGAGGATTATCCCAGGTGTGCTCAGTGGTTAATGAGGTGTCAGGTGTTCCTCAGATGGTATCAGTGAAAACGCCGAGTTCAAAGCTTCAGTGCTGGACCGCGTGCATTTATACCGACTCCGTTGTCGTTGTTTCAAATAAACAATCATTTGTCTCCAATGGGCGTGAACGACTTCAACCAGCAGCAACTTTAAATGTGATTGGTCCCCTGAGCAGATCGCTGCATGCTTCGGACGGCGCTTCAGTCGAGCCCGCGTTCAGCCTGGAGAGTTCACAGTGATCGAGTAGTCGTGGTCCTGCCTCCTGCAGCGCTGTGGCCAGGCTCCGCCCCTTACCTAAACTGGAGTTTTCCCACAGGTTAACGGGTTGCAGTTTGGGCGTTTGTCTTCTTGTTATTGGGTTCGTTGTGGAGCCGGCAGAGCGCCACGGGGTATCAAGAGTTCGTTTGTGACTTTGCTTAAATCCTGCAGCCGCTCTGGATGAGCACACACAAGGTCACATGTCAAATTATATCAATGCATCAGCGGGGATTATGGGATCGCTGGGATTGTCAGGCTCATCCTCGACACTCTGAGTCTCGCCTCTTTCCAGTCCAACACTAAAGACAGGAAGTCTCACAGTGTGCAGACTCAGTTTTTCACTGAATGTCAGATTAAAGAGCCCGGAGCTTTGCTTCAGTAACAAGATCAGATGATCATTTTGTTTCGTCTGTGCCTCATTTTTTCGTAAATTAAAGGAAAAAACTCTCCAAACATCCATTTTTGCTTTAATTAAATGATCCTGATGAATCTTTGCAATCTTAAAGCTACGAGCAGTGACGATGATGATGAGGAAGACACCTAAGACACCTTTTATGTCCCCGCACCTCCTAAGCCTGGCGAGGGGAACCCAGCAGCTCCCGTGTCGTGAATCATCGCTCAGGTTTCCTCGCCGCGGCTCAGATATGAACGCGGAGCGTCCTCCGGTGAATCACAACATGTGCTCGAGTATCCCGCTAACATCGCCGCATCCTGCCCGACCCTCCATTATTCACCGTCCGAGGAGCCGCCGCAGGATCTGATGACGCCGTCTGCTGACCTTGAAGACATTAAAGGAGGAGCACGTGCATTTCTGTTGTTGCTGCTAAACATGTGATGTCCCCCCCCCCTCGTCTGTTCCTCCAGCTCCGCCCGTGGCGAGCACACGCCTCTCTGAATGACATGTTTGACGTTAATTACGTGTTGACATGCGTGTCTCTGCGTTCTTTCTAATCATCATCTAATGATACACGCCCAGGCAGCGGCGGCAGAGTGCGGCCATGTGACATATTGAGTCTCACCAGGGGCGCGAGGTCTTTTTGCTGCGTTTCATGTTATGGATTTCGGTTGTTGGCACTGTGCGCCCTCCGTAGAGGTGCTCTTTTAGGTTTTGGGGCAGGATTAGGACGGAGGATGTCCTTTTCTTCTGCCACAGCTGGAACAGCAGGATTTTTGGCAGTGTGTCCTGAGGCCAACGTTTCTCTTTAGCTGTTTATAAAATGACGGCGAGCCCGTCCACAGGCTGCGTTCGATCTTCGTCTATGGACGAGGCGTCATCGATGGGCGGTCCTCTCTGACCTCTTTCAGTTGAGTCTTCTCAGGCCGAACATCCGGCGCTACGCCGCTGTCTCTGAACCGCGACGTGTGGAGCTCCACCGGGACACCATCCCGCCACCGCATGTCACGCCGCGTTGCATCACGTCACGCTGTCACATCACATTAGGTCCTGTCAGATGCATCGTTCCCTGCTGAAGTGCCTTTGAGCAAGAAACCGAAACTTTCCGCAGCTCCACAGGTGCTGTTTTTTACGCTAGCGCGTCCTTTGACCTCAGCTGAGAGGAACAATAAAGGTCGAGGGGTCAAACTGTTCCTGCAGGTGGTTGACTTTCATCGCACACCTTTATTATATTTGTTACTTCTTTATTATTATTATTATTATTATTTTTATCCAACCAGCAGCAAATAATGAGCATGTATCTGTATAAATATTAATATCTGCTGTTGTCTGATACATGTGACTGTATTTAATAAACCATTTTAAATTCTTTTTGATATTTCACTGTATTATTATCATTTATCAGGGTTTTCTTTTGTACTGTGGGATAAACTATACTTCATCTTCAGTGCCTATTTCCTCGTCCTTCTGATGATCATGGAGTCGGGATGGCTGCTTCTTGGAGCAGGTCCTTAGCGTTTAACTCCCGGGATCGTTTAGATCAGCGTCCCCGTCGGCTCCTCCCACATTAAACCATTTGCTGCTGTTGGCATGAACTGAGAGGGAGTTTTTTGTGTGACGGCTCTTCTCCGATGCTCAGGCAGGATGTGCGGGAACTCGGTCGGAGCTTAAACTAACATGAAACAAAACAAGAATGATCCCATCAGGTCCAGTTCAAATCCCCCTAAAGTCCATTATGATGGCGTGATCGGGTTAAAGGCCTAAACCTGAAGACAAATATAAACACCGGAGGATTCAGGGCTCTGCCTCCCAGAGACGCTGCTGGGTTTCAGGAATTCCAGATACTATGAAACTATGAAGTCAGTTTAAATTCATACCTTTGTGCACCTGTTACCTGTTTGACGCCAGAAAGACTTGAGAGCACACAGACTCAGAGGTGCGAGAATTTGACATTTTATTAACAAGTTGAACCTGCTGCTGTGTCTGCGATGAGCCAATGAGGTGAGGTGTCCTGTTAACCCTGTGAGGTCATCAGTCGAGAACCCCTCAGGTGTGTTCACACCTATTTTTGCACAGTCTGATTTTGTGCAGCGAAGCCGACGGGCGCAAACGTGAACAGAAGCAAATCCAACCAAAGATTTTAACTTCGGCAGAAAGTTTTCACGTGAGCAGCTGGCGAGACGTGGAGGAGGAGTTATTAATGCTGAGGCTGAGTGATTCATGGATCAATAGGTCTCCTGGTTCATCTGACGCCTCCGGGACGCATCGTACGTGATGTTTACAGTTTTGTTTTTTTTAATTCGCTCGCTGCACGACCAATGAGCTCGTGCGACGGGGAGGTGACTGTCACACATCCGTCCTTGCACAGTTGATAACGTTGCTGCTCCTCCGAGTGTTGGTCTGATTTTAATGACAGTTTCATTCACAACGATCACCAAACAAGTCTTCAACCAAACAGGCTGCTCGGCTCTGCTTTGCAGCTTCACCAAGTTTAAGGGCAGCTTACTTTAAAACTACAATTTCATTATAATCACAAAGAACATGCACGTGAGCATAACTGCACTTATTTTTAATAATATACAGTTAGAAAAAAAATTATAAATCAAAACTAGGATGTAGGAAACATACGTAAAGGAAGCTTCCTTAGGAAGTGACCTGTTTCATGTTTCGTCGTATTTTAATCATTTTTATGTTTTATTGACGCTGGAGGAGCTTTTGGAGTTTGTTCAGTGGGAGAATGTGGAGGTGATCATGTGCACTAATCCTGTTTCTGTTTGTTTCCCTGTGTGTGTCTGTGTGTAGTTTGTGTGGCATCGTTCCAGGCCTGAGCAGCGTGCTGCTGCCTCGCATGAACCCCTTTGTCCTGATCAACATGGCGGGAGCTCTGTCCCTGTGCATCACCTACATGCTCATCGAAATCAAGTAAGAATTTAATCTGCGTGGATGTAAATCCCCACGTTCACGCTCGTCCACGATCTGTTTAACCAGCCCGAGTTTGTTCAGCTGATGCCGTTTCCATCCCCGCTTCCCTTTTATATCTTCATCGGTGCTGAGCTTAGAGCGGCAAACGTGCACAGATGAAAATGTCGACCAGCTTCAACGAATAACATGAATATTGTCATTTATTCCTCTGAAGTCTTCCTCAGAGTGAACTGTGCGCTTGTATCGGCTCATTTACAGACTGGATTATTTCAGGATCTGTGGTGGTGACAGTGATGTCGTTTATTTATTTTAGAAAAGTGGAAATCTTCTTTATGTTTGATGAACCATTTCTTCTCTCGTGTCCGTGATCTGTGTGCTCAGCAACTTCAACGCAGTGGACACGGCGTCTGCGGTCGCCATCGCCCTCATGACCTTCGGCACCATGTATCCCATGAGCGTGTACAGCGGCAAAGTGCTGCTGCAGGTGAGACAGACGGGGCAGTGCGCTCCCCTTTGGCCTTTAACCCCAAAATATGATGCAGGTATGGAAGCCACGTGATCATGATTATTTACCGCCTCTCGCCCACAGACCACGCCCTCCCACATCATCGGGCAGCTGGACAAGCTTCTGAGAGAGGTGAGAGCCGGCGCTTTATCGCAGCGTTACTGCAACATCAGGAAGTGTTTCTACTGCTTAGTTTTATCCCAGAGTTCATCATAACCAAACATAAACTGGATCCACCAATCAAATTCTCCCTGCGAGGCTTCATACATCACTTACATTGAGTCCAGATTGTTGCATAAAACTGTCACTTTTGGCATTTAAGATCAAATTTCAAGCGCAAATGTAACTGTTGACGTATCGATCGGGTGTCCAGCACACTGCACCATTAAACTGTGCAGAAACTCGAATTTCAAACCTCTGCAGCTGAGCGGACGCCTCGGGGCCGACTGCGATTTCACCGACGCTCAGGATCTCGACTTCGTTCACAGTCAATCCAAACCACGAAGTAGCAGATTACTGACTGGGCGGATCATTTCACAGCTTCCGTTTTCAGCTTCCTGTCGTACGATGGCGTTCGTCTCCGCCCATCAGGGACTCCCAACATGAACTTTAGTTAAAGAGAGTTGACGAGTCCTGAGCTAACCCTCCAAACATGGCTGCTGTTCATGTTTCCTTCATTCACGTTAACGGTGACGGCAGCTTGGTTTCTGAGTCCTTCAGACACAACACGAGGTCAACGTCAGACGGAAACCAGCAAGCAAACACCGTAAACCACGTTAAACTTTATTAGGAACAGCTGAGAGAACAGCACACTGACTGATTATGACTGATTATGATTGGCTATTTGTGCCTTCTTGTGTCCAATCAGGTGTCGACTCTGGACGGGGTGCTGGAGGTCCGAAACGAGCACTTCTGGACTGTTGGCTTTGGATGTCTGGTGAGTGACAGAGGCCGACGGAGAAACTCTGGATTAACTTATCCAGTTAATCGTGGCGTCGGATCGCTGGCGTTAGAATCAGTGAAGCCCGATAAGGAAAACGTATCCTGGGCTGAGCCTGAGTGCAGCTCTGCAGACTCGTAGTAAATAAATAAGTGAGGGCGCCGCGATCTCTTTTAAAGAAATGAATCGGGTTACTTACAGAGCGGGGTCGGAGGTCTCTCAGGGTCTGCTGATCAGTTCCTCTCTGACGGTTCTTCCTCTTCCTGTTGAGTTTGTCCCGTCTCCCTCCTCCGTCCGCTCCTCCGTCATTCGTCGGATTAGAGCGATGATCTGCAGGGATTTGTTCAACGAGACGAAAAGAAGGAACGACTCATTCATGCGGAGACTTGGCTCCCCCCTCCTCTCCCTCTCTGTTTTTTGGGGGTGCGTTGTTGTTGTTGTTGTTCGTGTTGCTGTCGTCGCAACGCAAACAAACCCAGCTGGCTTTCAGGGCGGGACGCACACAGAGAGGAGCGCACACACCGACAATCTCCTCTGCCGGGCTCAGATGCTCATTATAATTTATGGATAATTTAACCGTGCTGCTGTTGAGCCTGAAGGTTCACACGAGGAGAACTTCCTGTCCACTTCCTGCGTTTTTTTAACGTCCTAAAAACAAAGTGAGGAAGTAAAAGTGAAGCAGTCGCTAATAAAAAACAACAAAGTTCAAACAGGGATAAAATAGTTCATCTGCACTTCATGAGTCAGCTTTCAGTTCTGCTTTATAGCTTATTATCTTAAATTAGCAGCTTTCCTGTTGGAGTTTTGTACTGAGACGCTAACATAAGGCTAGCACAGTTTCATATCACTCGGCTCATACATGTTAATAAAACCAAAACACAACGTTTAGTCAAATTTATCCACCCTGCAGCGCCCTCGAGACTTCAGTGAACACACCCATTGGTTCCGGGGGTTTAGATGGGTGGAGTGGTTGGGTCAGATGGGGCGATGGAGTGGGAGGGGTGGGTGCTTTGAGCCTGTCAAGGTTTAAATTTGGTTGAAATCGGCGACTTCAGGTTGAGTTTAGACTTCTTCTTGGATCTCCTGTAAACGAAGAGCTGCGAGGCACGGAGGCGTTTTCCAGCCGAGGCTCATGTCTGTGGGGTTAAAGATGACATCACCACAGTATCCATGGTTACAGGCCAAACCTTCTGTGTTAGGCGTGTGTCTGCTGAAAGCTCCTCTCTGGTATGAAGGATGAAGGCCGCCGTTCCTCTGCCTGCCTCCGGGTGGCGCAGCGCCCGTGTTTACCTCGCCCTGATGCTGTTTTTATTGTTTGTATTCGTGTTGTCGATGCCGCCGCCCCTCGTGTTGTCGTTTGTGATGCTGCTGCAGTTACACAACTGTTGGTTGTTGGCCCACTGCTAACAAAGCAGCTGTCCAAACTGATTTGACCCCCTGACTGCACTTCTGCCCCATGGGGCGATTCGCTCTGCATGTGTGTGTGCGTGTGTGTGTGCGCGTGTGTGTGTGTGTGTG